TGCCTCATCCATCCACTGTCCTCCTCCCTGACTTACTTTCATCTTCTGTCTTTGCTCTGCCTCTTTCTGTCTTCTCCACCATTTTCCACTTTGTATTTTCTCCCTTTCCTCTCAGTCCCGCTTCTCTTGTCTCATGATGCTGATACACCTCTGCTTTGGTGCATGGAATTATTATTTTACCCTCGTCAGCCTAAATGTTTGGGGCTCTTTTTTTCTCACTTTGTTTAATAACTCATCTGGACAGACTCCAGAACAGCTACAGTTACAGCCCGAGCTACCAACTCTTCAGTACAGGGGCTGTGCAGAAAACAACTCATTTGGAGATTGCCATCCATGTGTATATACGCTCAGCCATTATTCAGCAGTTACACACACAACAGATAAAAATGCATACTAAATACCTTGAATGCAAATCACAAGCACATGCATAAACATAGGCCACAAAAGAGATATGCAGCAAAATCCTTTTGACATCAATAATTGGTAAATCCTCTGATTAACTTGTGAGAATTGTCCTTAGAGTGCTTAAGTAATTGTGTTTGTGTGTGTCCTTTTTTATTGCATGCACCCCCTCTCTTTAAAGCACATCTTTATAACCAAGCAATTCCAAAGCAATTTTCTCTGTGGGAGGAGAGTGTAATTTTCTATTCTGTGACACTGTGATGTGTAAGAAACTGGGAGCTGGCGCTAAAAGGCGTCTGTACTCTGTGTGTGTGTGTGTGTGTGTGTGTGTGTGTGTGTGTGTGTGTGTGTCTGTATGTGTGTGTGTGTGGTTCTTGGTGTAGGTGTGAGCCGCTTTAATGGCCAACTCAGAGCGGGTGGCAGGGGTGGTGAGCGGGTGCATGTCAGGAAGGCCATCATTTAATGACTCCCAAATAGTGCCCTCGTCGCCAGAGCTATCGTCCTGGAAACACGAGGCTGTGAACCAGGAGAGCGCCACACGCTGCAACAGTCTTTTATCTTCATATTAAACCATTTGCATAACATTACGGCGACAGATAGGATTCAGGAGATACTCAACCTACTCAGGGAGAGACAGGGACAGAGTAGGGAGACATAGTGAGGGTATACTACATGTCCTTGCAAATCTAATCAGCGTTAAATGGAGCTGTCAGACGTGTGTGTGTGTGTGTGTGTGTGTGTGTGTGGGGTGTGTGTGTGTGTGTGTGTGTGTGTGTGTGTGTGTGTGTGGGGGGGCTGTGGATGGATCATGTCAGGAGTCATTTAACATTAAAGTGCGACAGTGGGTAGCAGGGCTATAATTACAAAATACACAAATCCAAGCTATTTCCTGTTAGATGTGACATCCAAATACAGCAGTCAGCCTCCAGTGATACACAAGATGAGGGCAGGAGGTAACAATTCATGTGTCATGTGCACTCATGTCCTTCACAAAGTTAAGTTTTGATATTGGTTGTTCTCTGCGTCTTCATCAATTTGTGCTGCTCAACGGAACAAATCGCACTTCTGCCAATTTTTTCAAATTGCAGATGTGGTTTAATTTGATCTGATATGAGCAGACGAACAAAAGACTCAATCTCATGTCTTGTGTAGGTGCAACATCCATCCATACTGTATTATGTGATGTTTTCTGCCTACAAAAGAATATCTGACATCTGCTTTGCTATCAGCTCGGCGGCGAGTAAAGAGAAACCGACGGAATCTCATTAACGTCGAGAAACAAAAGCAGGAGTGTGTAAGAACACGCTAATTAGTTGTTGCTACTTGCTACTGCCTAATTAATTTAATCAGAAGTACACTTGAGATATATATGTGTGTGACTGCGTGTGTATATAGATACAATGCGCTGCTTTGGTTCTGGTCAAAGCATCGTTTAGCGACTGAAACACTTCCTTATAGATAAATCACTGAATAAAATATAAAAACATATGTAGAAATAAATAGCCATTTGTGTATTCCTACATTTATTCATTCATTTATTCATATCGTTATAAATACATATATTTATTTAAAGATTTGTTATTATTATTTCTGTGTTTCTACATGTGGTGGCAATAAACAAGCACAAAGTCAATCACTTCTCTGAAAGTTTAATTCAGCATCTGCAGATGGACTCATCAGTACACATCACCTGAATGACATGCACAAATGAGCAAAGAACATAGGAGAATCTGTGTTCTTATAACTCGCAGCCCCCTCCCACTAAGCATGCAAAGGTATTTATTACCCTCCTGTAGTTTCACTCAGTGGAGGAGACATCATGTCCATTTGTTTACATGTTCTGTGGATGACCCCCCTGTTAGATCCCAATCAGAGATACCAAGAGATATCATAAAGTTGTGGTTTCTTGAGGCCATAAAACTCAAGTCTCTTAAGCCACCATCGTAAACCTTAAAGTTACCCTTTTAGATGAATAATTTGGTCAACTCTTTGGTCAGTCATCCACGTACATGTCTGCTCATGCAATTAAACATAACCAAATGTAAAAATTTCCATTACATACATTTATTTAATTCTGTATTTCTGTCTGTATGTTAAATAAGAGATTAAACAGTACCAACCCATAGACCTCTACACTACACCTTTGTCATCAGGGGACAAAAGGTTTAACAGAAATTAAATATTTACTTTGTGAAAACATACAAGATGGTTTTAATTTTACATTTATGTATTTATCTTTGCATTTACTTGCTTATGTATATATTATTCAGTCATTCAAATATTTCTTTTTTTATTTTAAATTTTGGCAGGTTCGGTCCTGCTGGAAGACTCAGTACCATAGTGTTGATCATGTGAAAGGCCCGGCACACCCATGTTAAACCCACACAGGTCAGACGGCACATACTGTCACATTATGTGTGTCACATGTATGTGAAATTGTGTCCACCATCTACTGTGAACAGCTAAAGATGTCATCACACAATAGTTTACTGTGTGTGTGAGGGAGACACACAGGGAGAGACAGATTTCCTGTTTATGCATATGGGGATAGACTCTGCCAGGTGAGTGTACAATTTATCATCAAGCCATTGAGTTCAGCAGGCATCTAATAACAAAGCATTTACGGCCCACTCACGCATGCATAGATATATAACTGTCTCCACCGTCTCCAGCTATTCCTGCCTCTCCTAAAACGCACAGACACCGCCCAGATCGGACCCAAATAGGCTACTCTAGAATTCTATCATCAGACTCGGGGATGAAATTAAAATCGCTCATTTTCTTTCCCCATACAAGGAGCAGATCAATTTCCGGAGACCGGGACGTGATATTTTCCTGCCATTGGGTTTTCTCGTCTTTGGCACAGCACCTTGACTGGCTGTCAGCGGGGGGCCTGGGCCTGCCTGCACGCCTCGCCGGAGAACAGTTACTTCTGCCACGGCGAGTTTATTTGCGCCTCGCTATGAGAATTGCCATCATTTACCCTTCCCCAACACCTCCCAAAAAGAAAAGAAATAGACAAGAGAGGGAAGCGAGCCAAGAATGAGAGAAGGTGAAATTGATTCTTTTTGATACATGCTGCATGGGGGACATTAGGTACCCATCGTTTGGACATCTATTTTCAAGAAATGAGCTGAATAAATTTTGCTTAAAGTAATGTATAGGGCCTCTTTGGAAGCCTTTGCTGTTGTTCATACCAAGAGGGAATTGCTCACTGCAGCATGCAGAGGTTGTATCTGTGGATTGTGCTAGTTTTTAAAGAGAAGTCAATTAATAATGCAGCTGAACAGAAATGATAACTCGCTTCTAATAAAACAGCATGTGTTAAGCATAAAATATGATTATGGACAATCTGATCAACCAGTGGTGCATTAAATCTAGAGAGATGGTGTCCCCAGCCTGCCGGTTGGTGGCATGCACGCCTTGTATCCTTCAAAATAAACAACCATTACAAAATGGCAGTGGCGTAGCTAGGATTTTTCTTAATCTGGGGCAATTAGGGGCCACAATTTTCACAGGGAGGCCAATTATACTGTTTGTCTTTTCTAAATTTCTGATTGAGTAAGGTGCACATTTAAGTTATTCCTCTTTGCTCTATAGTATAAACAAGAAATCCTCATATATCATTGTTAGGTGTAGTTTATCAGATTACAGCTGGGGTCAGTGCCCCCCTGGCCATGCCTCTGGATCCGCCCCTGGATCCGCCCCTGCAAATTTGGGATATAAATGTATAAAATGACTGAATAAAACTTAAGATATCACAAATTTAGAATTTTACGTTGCTCTTTTCTAGTCTTTTGCTTGGATGTTTTTCTTTGGAGGACGTGAGGATGTGCATGACACAGGTGTTTGTTTAAGCAGTGCATATGAGGCCACCACAGTTTGACCGGGATGACTGTCACCACAGAGCATAAGCATAATGCAGACAAATACTGTCAATACTGGCATTTTACCAGTTTATAGTCTGCTGGATTTTCCATACTTCATTATAACCTTCATAGACCTGTAGACTAATATTTCACTGAGAGAATATAATAAATCATTTTATTCAATTATCGTCTAGTCAGAGGTGGACAGTAGCCAACATACATATACTCAAGGACTCTAAGTACTACTAAGTACTTGTACTTTACATTCATGTACTCATTGATGCAACTTTCTGATTCTACTCCAACACATCTCAGAAATACATTTATCTGACAGTTTTGTATATTTTGCTGATCATAGTTGCACACTTGAACTTAAGTAAGGTTTTTAATGCAGTACTTTAAGTTTAAGTTTCTGAATTCTTCTTCTACCACGGCAGCTAGTGCAGACTGTATTCTCAGACACCATTACCTCTGAGATGTCTTCAGTATTTTTGCTTTATGTGCTTGTTGTGTCCTCTATCTGTTCCCTGTGTTGCACTTACAACTTTTTTTTTACTGCAGCCTTCATCCTTGTTTTTTTTGGCAGTGACCAGTGACACTGGTTTTTGTTTGCTCACAGTTGGGCCATCCTCTCCGTCCTCTCCCCTCCGCTGCTGCTGCTGCGTCACCCAGTCTGTCAATGCTTAATTACAACCAGACTGAGGAAAGAGTATAGATCCAACCCCCTTTTAAGCTCACTTCATACCAGCATGCACTCTTTCAGTGGTGGACTCTAGTCCAAGGGGGGATGACTTAGAAGTCACACAAAAATTCCTAAATTGCTTTTGCGAGGAAGCTTAAACAGACACGACAATGGCTGGACTCAAGGTAAGACTGCATTTTGATTGTTTAAAACTACTTGCAGCTTTAGAAAAGCTCATTCTCCAGAGTTTAGACTTTAAACCCCACAAACCAAGAATCAGACTATATGAGCATGCAAACGTGCTGGGGTTCAATATTTGGAAATAAAGGAAAAGTTGTATTTAATCTGTTAATACACATTTTGCACCAGACGTGCACAATTAAACCGTAGCAACTTACATCTACTCACTATACAGAGACAGAGACCGGCTGACTGAAGGGAGGTGTTCAGTCTGGCCAATCAGAGGGCTGCATTCAGCAGCTGCCCAGATGTGCTGCAGGATGCCTCAAAAGCAGCACAAACTTATTTTAGTGGGTTTTCTGCTGAGTAGAACAAACATATAAACTCCTTTACAACGTTATATTCTCATTGGGTTCTGCCATTGACTTCCACATATATACAAACCACATAATGGTTCAAGGTTTGTTTTCATTGTTTTGTGGTGGAAACCATCTCTGAAGCAGCTGAGTGACCTGCTGTACCTTAAGTTATTGATGCTTGTATCTAAGATTTATAATATTGGGTCAAGATGTTGTATTTTAGAGATGGAGCTTAATTAAATAATGACTTTAATCAAATAATATGACTTTATCTCTACAAAAAAGTTGGGAGCTTTTTTTCTACACCCTAACTCGATTTAACAGCACGAGTTCAACAAAATCCTACTTAACACACCACTCTCTAAACACTGGGTTTTATAAATGTTTTTAGGCATCCTACACACACAAATCCACACATATGGAACCTATTATACTGCGTGCATGTGTGTGTGCGCGCGTGTGTTTGGGAGAGCTTTCTGCAGACTAACAGTGACTCAGCGAGATTTCTTTACCTTCTGCCAAGTTTATGTTTCCCAGTGGCAGGGAACGCTGTGGGGGCTGGTGATCAGTGTCATCAGAGGAGAATGGCGGAATAATAATCTTGTCATAATTGAAGTATTGATCAAATTGTGCTGTGGAGGATTTTAGCATAATTAGTTTGCTTCTGTAACACAATAGCACAAAAGTAATGGATGACTACAAGGGGAGAGATTGGCGTAACTGCAGTTTGTTTTATCATAGATCTAATGTGAATCAATATGACAACAATTAACAAAAAGACAAGGCTTAATGACAAGCCTTCAGATTTAATTATAACCAGCATGAACACATTTATCCTGCATTACAATGAGGCTGCATGGTGAGGTTTTTTTAGTTTTCATTTTCACTTGCCTTGAGTGGAAAATGTTTGTCTGTCTGTTTCAGTACATAGGCGGTTTCGGGAACGAGTTCTCCTCTGAAGACCCTCGCTGTCCTGGATCATTACCAGAGGGACAGGTAGTTCACACACACACACACACACACACACACACACACACACACACACACACACACACACTGGAAAACAAAAAAACAACACTGAGGGCTTGTTTTGGCATTAATTCAGTCATTTATTCATTGATTTTGTGCTCAGGTGAACTGCACAAATACTTAATGCAACACCATAAGCATTAGAAGGGGTGACACCAACCAAAAGCATGTGATTGCTCCTTGTTTCAGAGGAAAATATATAAATGTGATCCAAGGATATAAGATATAGGATACAAGATAGTTTGCTTTTCATCCTCACATCCATCATGATTTGACTAACCACACTTATTTAACAGCAATAGAAGCCACAAGAGGATGACCACGCAAGTCAAACATGAATCATTCATTTCAACACTGTATGTGCAAAACCTAACTTTATATTTGGTCACACAAAGCTGTACACAATCCCTCACAATCCATAACACACACACGTGTTGTGTCTCTACAGAACAATCCTCAGGTTTGTCCCTACGGCCTCTACGCTGAGCAGCTCTCTGGCTCTGCTTTCACCTGCCCCCGACCAGCCAACAAGAGGAGGTATCCCTCTGTCTCTCACATGAAAATCAGCCCACACACAGTACACGTGAAATCATTCTTTGACGTTATAAATAACTTAATACTAGTCCTTTTTTCTTTCTCCAGCTGGTTGTACCGCATCATCCCATCTGTCAAACATAAGCCTTTCACCGCAGTGCCTTGTGGGAATCTGTCAGAGAACTGGGATGAAGTGGAGCCTGATCCTAACCAGGTATATCAAGGCTGAACAGGAGGAGGCCCTGATCATTCAGTCCTTCTTAATTTAGGATAAAAATAGGAAACAGGAAAACAGCACGAGACGCGCTGCTTTACTCAGATTTTGATGGAAGTAAACAAATATATCATGTGGTTAATTAATGACTTTTGTAAATGCTTAAAGTCAGATAGTGTTATTTTAACAGCTTCTAATTGTCCTCCCCTATTTTCAGTCTTTATGCTAATCAAATTGCCTGCGGCACAAGTTAAGAGTCTAAGAAATCAAATAAATTTTTTATCTCCTTTATTTATTAATTCATTATTCATAGTAAAGGTATTGCCTTACCTTTTTTTTAACAAATCCTTTGTTTAAAATATGTCTTGTGGACCGAAAATAAACTAAACAGAACTGAACTAATTGGGAAAATATGTTTTCAGGGCCTTTAATACTTAAGCCAATGGAATTTTTTTGTTTATATCGTCTGTATTTACTGTACAAGTAAGATTCTGACTCTGATATTTCTCTCCCAGCTGCGATGGCTTCCATTCACCATTCCCAAACCTACAGAGAAGAAAGTGGACTTTGTGGCTGTAAGTTCAAATCTTTTTTTATTCCCTATATTATTCTCTCGTTAAATGCTGTCAGTCGATTGGGGTTGTAACTGTGCATATCTTGCAGGGTCTGCACACTCTCTGTGGTGCTGGAGATTCCAAATCTCGCAATGGCATTGGCATCCACGTGTACACCTGCAACACTTCCATGGTCGACAGGTGAGTGTGTATTTGTGTGCAAATGAGCCGATTGTGTAAGATACAGATGTATTTTCTCATATCGGCAAAAACAATAGAAATCTTTTGCATCCTTTTTTTCTCCTGTTGCAGGTGCTTCAACAACTCAGATGGAGACTTTCTGATTGGTGAGGAAAAGGGCTGTTGATGTTTTCACTGCCGTTTATCACAAGAACAATGATAGCTCAATCCTCAGTCCTTCTCCTGGCTCAGATTGTCTATTCTCCATGGCCCTCTTTGTCTGTTTGTCTCTCTAGTCCCGCAGCAGGGCGAGATCCTGATCACTACGGAGTTTGGGAAGATGATGGTGGAGCCGAACGAGATCTGTGTCATCCAGGTGATCTCCGTGTTTTCCATCTCTACAGTTTTTATAGAAATCGACCATTGTGTCCTCTCCCATGCCAATTATATACCATCTTTAGAAAGACAGAGTTGGCTACTTATATTACTTATATTCATATTTTTCCCATGCACTCATCATGTTTCTGTTCTATATGTATAAATACAATTTACTTGTGCTGCCAATGTTATATCTGGTTTCTTTGTATGTATAAAAACAGAAAGTGTCCTTGGGCACTTCAGCATGTGAATACTGAGCCACTTCTCATAGAAAAAGTCCTGCACATAGATGCACTGTATGAATGGAAACCTGTACTGTAAAGCACTTTGTGTGGTCATCAGGACTAGAAAAGCTCTATTTGAATACAGATAATTTAGACGAATCACCATTTAAATTTCTTCTCTCCTTCTCTTCTCATGTATTCTCTGCAGCAAGGGATGCGCTTCAGCGTGGATGTGTTTGGAGAAACCAGAGGTTACATACTGGAGGTGTATGGAGCCCACTTTGAACTCCCTGACCTGGGGCCCATAGGTGTGTGTTGATGTGTGTGCTGGTCTGTTGATCCATCGCTTATGTGGTCAAAACTATAAATATTTCAACAACTGCTGGATTGATTGCTTTGAAATTTAGGAAAAACATTAATGTTGCACTCACAATGAATTAAATCACCTTTCTATTTAGGTCCATCATCAGGTTATATGTTTAGTTTATTTGTCCAAATCTCTAATTTATGATCATATACCTGCAGAACTAATGACCGTCAATCTTTAGTTAATAAGCAAATGTTAGCGTGCTTATATGCTAGCAAGCAAATTGAATTGGTGAACATGGTAGACCACAGACCTGTGAACATATTAGCGTGCTGATATGCCTAATTATACCCTGACAGAGCCACTAGCATGAGGGCTGTATCAGAAATCACTTCCTCATTGGCTCATCCATTACCCCCTATATAATAGACCATCCATAATATTACTCAACAGACAGCAGTAAAAGGGCACTTGACTAATCATCATCATCATCATCATTCAGCAAAATCACTCACAGCCATGCAGTGGATGCTTTTTATTTGTTAAACGTTTCTCATGTGTTAGCAGTAATGCACGTGGCATCATAACTTCTTTTGGGGTATTTTGAAAGGAACCAAGTAATACATACATTTCCTATTTTGAATTTGAAATAAAATGCTGGACTACGTAAATATAGTAGTGCAGGAATTATTTCAGACACACTCTTACTCTTGGATATGAAAATGTAATTTTGTGTGTGCATGTCCTTGTAACTATTTGTGTGTTTTGCAGGAGCCAATGGTTTGGCCAACCCAAGAGATTTCCTGTGTCCAGTTGCTTGGTATGAGGATCGCACGGTGGCCACAGGTTTCACCGTCATCAACAAGTACCAGGGGAAGCTCTTTGCCTGCCAACAGGTGCTTCCTTTCACTGACATTTCACTTTGTGTGTTAGTGCACTCAGAGGCTGTATGACAGTGGCCCACACATGTGGCATATTTTCCCTATTTACCCTATTTAGTTTTGCGTCTGCTTCAGTTAACACCATCGAAGCGCAACAGCGACTAACAGGAAACTGCCCAAGTGAAGCATATAATCCATTAGCCGCTCCTGCCGATGTTACCGTCCCTTATGATTTAATATGGAAGCGTTGGCTGTTATCTATTCAGCAGGTTTCCGCCTCAACTCCCTCATGAGTCTTAATCACTCATAATTAGTTAAGGCCTTCTGGAGTTACCGACAGTGTTCCCTGTGACGCTTTACTTTGTAGGAAAAACCTTTTACAAGTTAAGCATTCATTTTACCATATTTCACTCGGGGAGCGATCCTCCCTCAACAAAAATGTCCTGTTAGGTGCGTAATTGGATCGACACATAATGACTGCCAGGAGGTTTTTGAGACAAAGAGGAGATGGGAGGAGAGGTTCATCAGGGGCGGAGGGTTGGGGGGGGTTGTAACCGTAGAAACCGTGTCAAACCACACTATTATTATTCATCGTAGGAAGTACACAAGAGTGAGATACTGATTTTTCTGTGGCAAAACAAACACTCTCGTTGAGCATCTACCCCGTTACGTGCTGGAGGTTAGAGGTGACACGCTTTCCCCGGTGTCCGCCTGTCCCTGAGCCTGGATGGTGAGGCCGCAGGGGTATGAAAATAAGGTGGAGGGAGGACACAAGCCTCATCTCAGGGAAGATGCTGCTGCTGCTGCTGCTCCTCCCGTCTGCTCCTGCTGTTTTGTTCCCCTGCAGTGCGCTGAAATTGCTCAAATTAACTTATTATTTGCTTGACTGGGCCAATATGTTTGTGTTTTGTGTGCATGTGTGTGCCAGTGCTCGCTCTCCTCCATTTTCTCCGTCATTTTAATCGAATGTAGTGGAGTTACCGCAGATGAATGTCCAAGAAATTACCTGCACTGGGTTCCCCCTAAGGCCTTTTTTTGTTATGGCAACTGCTGTAATTTGTGTTTGTGTGTGTGTCTGTGTGTGTGTGGGTGGGTGGGTGMGTGTGTGTGTGCGTGCGTGCAGTTTTGGCGTTTATTGTTTCTGTGTGAATTAACTTATGCACATGTCTATATGTAAGAACATGTGTGTATGTATTTTTGTTGGTGTGTGTAAGCTGCTCGTGTGTGCAGGGAGCACAGGGGTCACTCGCGAGGCAGCTTGAGTTGTAATGAACTATATTGATTTTAGAGCTCCTGTTGAATGTCTTTTTCTTTCGCAGTGACATTACCAGAACAGAGAAACTATATAAAATTGCTGTGGTTTTAACAATCAAGATAAAGAAATATCTCTGCACCCACTGTTACAGCAAAATGCTCAAAGTTTGGGAAAGTTTGATTGTGGGGCCAATTACCCCATAATACCTGGAGCCTCGTATCGCAAAAGAACGGGGGGAATGAAAGAAAATGAAGAATGAAAGAAGCACACCCTCTTTTTCACAATCAACCCTTTTCATTACGACTGTTTCTTTTCTCTCTTTATGTCAAGAAGTACTCTCTGGGAATTTAAGATTTCAAAGAAATTATTCATTGTTCCTTTTTTCCCAGTGAAAAGCTCAATTTGAAGTCTTTTGTGTTTGTTGCTCGGGCAGACTCGTCTTATTTGTTTTGTTCTGCTCTCGTCACATAGGATTTCTCTCCTTTCAACGTGGTCGCCTGGCACGGGAACTACACGCCTTACAAGTACGACCTTAAGAACTTCATGGTTATCAACTGTGTGGCGTTCGACCACGCGGTGAGGACACTGACACAATCTCTGTGCTTTTTAGTAAAAACATATCGTTTAATTTCTCAAACATCACATATTTTGTATATTGTAATCTTCCTACAGGATCCATCCATCTTTACTGTGCTGACTGCCAAATCCACACGACCGGGTGTGGCCATCGCTGACTTTGTCATCTTCCCCCCTCGGTGGGGTGTGTCTGACCACACCTTCCGTCCACCATACTATCACCGTAAGAAACACACAAGCGCCTCGCTTCAACTCTAAACAGGCTTGGCTTGTGCACATTTTGCGAGGGAGAAGAACAATTCCTTTTACAGCTGGGCTGTTTGGATGTGACTGGATTTGAATTGTTTTTCAAATTTTGCAGAGAGTGGCTAATTTTTTAATTAACCATAAGCTAACATCTGCATTTAATCAACCAGTCTGATGAAAGGTGATGCTCCTGCTGCATGACTTTTATCCAACTGAGGCCCCACCACAGTGCACTTCATCTGGTTTCACCACAGATCTATACCGCCATCTAGTGGAGATCAATGTCACCACTTGCTCCCAGTTCAGTGCTGTGTTCTTGTGTCTTCAGGTAACTGCATGAGTGAATTCATGGGTCTGATCAAAGGCCACTATGAGGCCAAAGAGGAGGGTTTCCAGCCAGGAGGGGCGAGCCTGCACAGCATTATGACCCCACACGGTCCTGACGCCGAATGCTTCGAGAAGAACAGCACTGCAGAACTGAAGCCTGAGAGGGTGGCTGAGGGCACCATGGTAAAAAGACAAATATCCAGTTTCAATTTTAACCAGAGTAGATTCATTGGATATTAAGAATGGTTTGTTCTGTAAAATCGGAAATTATATGTGTTTTGTGTCTTTTCCTTCTTTCAGGCTTTTATGTTTGAGTCATCCTTCAGTATGGCAGTGACCAAGTGGGGTCTGCAGACGTGTCAGCGGCTCGACAAGAGCTACTACCAATGCTGGGAATCTCTCCGCAGCCACTTTAACCCCAACTGGAAGCCCAGCAAGAAGTAGACAAAGTGAATCAAGAGAAAAATTTACCAAATACAGCTGTTAAAGCAAAATAAAATGTAACTACTCGCAATCCTTGGCTTTCTTTGTGTTACTCGATCAGATGTATTGATTGAAAATACAGGCGCAATGAAGTACCATGCCATGTAATTTAGACATTTATTTTATACAAACAACAACGATTAGGGTGGCACAATAAAAAATAAAGCCTGTGTCTTTGTTAGTGGAAAAAATGGGTCGTGTAAATTGTTTCTGCCTGCGTCAGCCATGCTGAACATGAATGTGCTTTGTGTATCTTCTTTACTTGAACAGTTTGGAGATTAAAGAAATCATAAAAACCTTTGTAATGTGAAAAACTGGATTTGAAATTAAAGAGGCTGTGATATAAGTCTCCTCACTTTAATAAACTCAGGTTTTGCTGTTCTGGTATGACCAGTAATTTATGGCGGCTCTTGGATTTACCGATATCTAAGTGCTGTTTGGATGTGCGAGAATGTGATTTGTACTTTAAAACGCTTTGAGTGGTCGATATGACTGGAGAACCACTATAAATACAGTCCATTTACCGAGGGTTAAGTCAAAAGTGTCTTTTTACAATTATTGTTTTATATGTATAATTAAATACAAACTACATTGTAAATACAAGCTCCAAAGTATCTCAATGCAACAAAAGTGAGTAAATTTGTCACTGACACAAACTCAGGCTAGTTGCATAGACAATAACTCACAGCTTTCTCAATTCTGGGTTGTGTGTAATGCAGCAAGCTCCAAATGATATTGATAATTAGACATAATAAATAGATGGGAGAAGGTGTAAGAATCAGGAGGCTACTGAACCTAAGTTGAAACACAGTTGTATAAGAGGAGCCAAATTACCCGAGAAATAAAAGTGATGCCACACACAATGGAAGGAAACCCTTAATCGTAAAATGGTCAAATGAATGTCGATTTTTCACCTCAGTAATAAAAGCACCATGATTATTTTTGACAATATAGTTTTATTTAGTTGATAATAATTACACACACATTGAAATCCTCATTAGAACGTACAGGTCTTTATACATCGAAGCTCATGATGACAAACTGAAGTTGCGATCGAGGGTCCCAGCCTTAATGTTCTCCTCCTTCTTATCCTGTAAAACAGACGACAAACAGATGATGGCTTAGTACAGTTTCCATAGTGACAAAGTTACATCACCCTCCTGAAATTTTCTCAAACACACATTTATGAGCAAGCGTTGTATGACTTTCAAGCAATTTTTTTTCTTCTTCCCAGCAGAGAGGGGGAGATGAACATGATCGCGCAGCAGTGTGACAATTGCACCACATTCTGCCTGGAGATTCTATTGGAGAGGATTGCGAGGGTGAATCTCCATGACAATGGTGAGTAAAATGAAAGCAGGCACCATTTCAAATGAAAAACTAATTTCTTTTGTGAATGGAACGGTGGAGAAAAAAACGGATCATCTGTGCACCTACAAGGAAATAATGAGTCCCCAGTCAATAACAAAAAAAAGCTCCTCACATGTCCATGACAAAGTATCACATCTTAATGATTCTTTTAGAAAGAAATATTCTTCTAAATGGTAATATCACTGTATGAGTTTCACTAATAAAAAAGATTTTTAGAGCTGTAACTTACACCAATTCTGTTGTTTGCTGATTAGATCAAGTAAAAATAGTTCATGATTTGACCCAGTTTGCCAGCGAGTATTATCGATTTAACAGCAGATAGATGCAATGAAATGAAGAAAGTAGAAGTGATTGCAAAACCAAGACGCCTGCAGCACAATGGTGGCCCCTGAGAAAAAGGACTTGAACCACAACAATACATAAATATGCATTTTTCTTCTTCTTTTTTTGTGTACATCTTAATTTGGCTCTGTTCAGTCACTTGCTCTCTATACAGCCAGCCGGACCAAAACTGACAATATATCTTTCTCAGTATTTTAATTATATGCCCAGAGCAAGTGAATGTTTCTGAAAACATGTGCCATAAACATGAACTTAGATAATCAAGCAAAGATAGACCACTGCATCTTGTCTCATACCCTGCCAGTCTTGAAGACGTAGTAGAGGACGAAGATGGGCACAATTCCAAACATAGCACCCAGCAGAGACGTCTTGTTCGTAGGTCTGAAGTATTGGTAGGGGTTGGCACGTGCGTACACCCAGCGTGTCAGCGCAGGGTCTTCCTGTGGAGACAATGGTGTTTTAAATGAAATGATCTACCTGCATAAACTAATTCTTAGCAATAGAGAAAAGTCATACAGTTGCAGAAATATTCCTACAACACACAAAACAAATAAAACAATATGACACAGGTAACTTAATCATCTCTCTATGCTGACTTAGGAAAAATGCCTGAAAGAAGTCAAACTCTCAACCTACATACAGACATGCAATGGTATATTCTGAGCATACAAAGGCAGATTTATAAAGTATAGTTCTTGACACAAGATATATTTCAGGTGAAGTGCGATTGTGTTAGTGGTCGATGCACACAGTGACACACTGTGAATATCATTTAAAACTGCATCAGAGGATTACTTGCATTATACTGGTGGAAACAGGGAAAATGAACCTGCAGGGTCTGGAGGTGAGAACCTAACAAATTTAAACAATGGTCTTTCAAATGATGGGTCAAATTATGACGGTGATGTTTCAATACTAAATACTGCATGTACTTTCTGATGCATGTACTCATTCAGCGTGTATTAGTTACACTGCAGCACTTATATTGTAGGAAGTACTTAATAGCACTGGCAGATAAGGACTGATGAATGGCATTTATAATATACTGTTTAATATAAAATATGTTCAGAAGGGAAATATTGAAGTTGACCTCAACATTATTAATGAAAGGTGTCACAGTGGATACCACAGCATCCGGGGCTTGTCTGATCAATGTGTTAGCTAGCTAGCTACCTTAACCCGCAGTTATGGTCGAAATAAGATGTTTGCAGAAGTCATCGTTTGCACATAGCCTCGTACATGAATTAAACATAAGCAGTGAAACAAACACGGCCACTGGAGTGTTTGCATTTTGTTCTGAGCGACTTTCCCCTGACATCCCGTTAGCATATCAGCCATGAGCCTGGGCTCTTTTCAAGGGTAACACCGCTAGCTACTCACGATGAGCTCTTTCCTGTGCGGGTTGTTGAGCTGTGTCTGGTACTGTCTCTTCAGGTTGGCTCGCAGAGCCGCTCGCTGTTGTTCAGCTCGTCTATACTCCGGAGAAATGTTGAAATACTCGTTCGGGTCCAATGTTTTGGGCCGAGTGGCCAAGGGCGCCTCTCGGTAGTCCGCCATGATTGTTTGGTGACGAACGGGAGAGAACGAGAACTGGTGAAGTCTCGCGTTGGCCGTCACCATGGTAACACCAAACTCTCTGGACGTGTCTGAACGTGAAACGATGAGCGCAGCGAAGAACGACTCCGAGAAAGATGGCGGAGGAGTTTCAGTGTGAAGACGTTTCTCAGGGAGACGAGTCTGGCAGAGGGGGGAGAGGATTGAGAGGCGACGGGCAGAGGCTAACGCTCGGCGCGGCGCTGCTAGCAACCCATACAGTCTATGCTAGCAACGCACGCCAACCGGAAACTGTGGATGACTTTTTACGCAACTTCCTCCTTCACGCAGGTATGACACAAACTCTCCAGTGTTTCCAGGCGGAGTGGAGTGAGATGGAACACCGGGTCGGTGTGGTGCCCGACGTCTACACCGACAACCAGCGCCTGGACACGGAGCTGAAACACGAGTACAGGCGGGCGGCCACCGCTGCGGCTCAGGCCCTGGTGAAGACCCAGAGATCCAGAGACCTCCACCGGCTGCAGTACACGCGCCGTGTTGATCGAGGACGTGAGGAGGCTCGTTACAGAAGATGAATGGACACCAGGCGGGTTTAAAGGCTGCAGAGGGGGAGAAGGTGAAGTCAGCTCAGCACATCATCCAAGTGTCAAAGTGACAACACATCCACGGCCCTGGCATCTCCTCTAAGAAGTCACACTAAGGCCCACTGAACAAATCTATGTTCTAATAAATAACTGTTAGATCTCACATGACTCTTTTCATGGAGTCTGGCCCCTTCATGGTCCAGTGTGTAGGATTTAGGTGAAAGGGATCTATTGGCAGCAATTCAATATAAAAATAATCCTAGTGATGTTTTCACTAGTGTTTCATCTAAATTGTAAGAATTGGCCCCTTTATATTCAAATACTTTAAATTCACATCTGGAGCACGTCCGCCATGTTTTTTTTTTTTACAGTAGCCCAAACTGGACAAACAAAACACCTTTTGAGTTTTCATGACAACTGGAGGCTACCACAGGTTCATGTTTGGAAGGGGAGGGTGAGGTGAGGGGGTATTCAGCTGCAACATGCACCACTAAATTCTACACACCTAAGCTTTAAGTACCAACACTTTCTTGAAGTTATTATATTTAGTAGCCTGAGACTTTATGGATGTACTGTTCTACAAAAGGAAATATTGTGCTCCACACTGCATTCAGCTAACGTCATAACTATTTGCATACAAAATAAGATTTTAGATATAGTGCTAAATCATAACATACATTATCTCAAGTAACTTTATATAGTAAGGTCAAGACAATGCTAAAAAAAAAAACTATAGAGAAACCCAACAGTTCCTAAAATGAGCAGCACTTGGAGAGAGAGAGAAAAAGAACCTCAAATTAGAACCAGACTCGATGTGGGTGACCCTCTGCCTTGGCCAGTGAAGGTGAGTAAAGAAAAAATATATGCCCAAATCATTTAAATTTATAATACCAGGAGGGCACCCAGTCAAGCGCATACCTCCGCCAAGGCCCAACAGTCTCTTTCAATTCAATCAATCTGCACTGATTTGCATTCACTGGAAAGTGGAAACAAAATTAATGGTTTATTTTACATTTTCGATACATTTTTAAAAGTATAATCATTGATCAGCCTAACATTATCATCAGGCTTTGTAAACATGACAATAGTGAGATAAGTCAGAGTAATATGTTCTGACATCCAGTTGATCATTTTAAATTCTTACACAGTTTCTTTGTTTCCAATCTCTCAAATCAAGATGAAAAAGTGGACATAATTAATCAATCTGTCGTTTCTCTGCTGAAATTCAGATTTGTTGCAACATAAAATATGACCACAAGAGGGCAGTCTCTAGAAAGCTTTGGTTTTATTTACCACCAAGTTAATGTTGGGGACCTGCTAGCAGAAAGAATCAGTAAGAGCAGGACAAGAGGGATCAGATGAGATACTCCTATTGATAAACCACAAGTGTTTTTATTTTTCCACTGACAGTGCATTTTCAGAAATGATCAATAAATAGGCAGCGACATTATAAACTTTAGCCATGTGCACTGAAATCATAGGAGCAGTAGATGGTTTAAAACAAGAAATCCAGATGTTGGCACAGTGCAAGGGAAAAATGTTTTCCTACATATCGGCACAAATATTTGTTGCTCTGGTTCTTGTATTTTCATTCCACCAGGGTGAATTGTTGGAATTTAAGTGAGGTTAAACTGTCATAGCCTTTTCTCAGATCCCTCAGTGGCTTCACAACTGGATTATACCGCACGTAGATAAACCTTCCCACGCTGAAGTTCTCTCTCTATCTCTCCTCGCACTTCTCACTTGAGTAGCTGAGTGGTACAAAGATGCTGAGAGAGCGCTTTGATCCCGAGACGCTCGGGCACGGACGTGTGACCAAATGATTTATTGTCCTCTCGGGTCCTTTAAAGTGCCACCCGCTCTGCAGTCTTGAAACATCCATTTAGGACTTCAAAATTCAATGTGAGGCCACATTCCAGGGCCAACAAACCTCTCCTCCCCCTCTCTGTAATGTTCAAAGAGAGATTTAGCCTCAAAATTAAATATTAATAATGCCTCTGCCCGGGCTGACACCCATGAGACCTTGTGCACTTGGAGTTGAACTTTTTTTTCTTTCACTGTGAGTCCCACAGAACATTTTATTCTTCATCATACATCTATGATGCTGACTTGTGCTTTTATTTTGATGCACTGACTGTGCAAAGTCCTTCAGAAATAACAGATAACAGAGAGATGAGGATTACAGACATAGGGGCTGAGTGATAAAGTAGAAATGAAAAAGCATAAAGGATTTCTATCAGCAGTTTGCTCTATCTTGCAAGACAAAGTCATTCCCTGTAATCAGAAGTAATTTTGTGTCGTTTCAAACGACGTCTAGATGCAAGTCTTGCTGGGAAAGTGCAAGCAGTTGTCACTTTTGACCACAAGTTAAAAGTTCTACTTTTCTTATTCTTCCTCACCAGGCTTTGAAGTGGTTTGAAGACTTCAGGAAACTGATGGAAACTGCTTTCACACATGCATTGAACTCTGGACGTTTTACTGAAATATTCTGGAGGGGCTGCATTTGAGAACACAAATGTCCAAGTCACTTGCTCAGAACATTTTCCGGAACTTTTCCTGCCAGCATCCTGGTAAAATGTCTGAGTGAGTCCACATGAGAAGACAGCAGGAAACTCAGGAGAATTCACATTGAGCGAGTGGGCATTTACATGGTGTTTCTAGAACGTATGATGTATGTAGATGCTGATGAAGATGTCAACACACAATCTCATGATGAGATCCGAGAGCTTTTGGCAAAAGGGACTCAAACCAGTGTCAATGTTCTGTCAACAAAATAAAACATGATTTCCACAGTGGAGTTAACATGTCATGTCCCGCCTCCAGCACCCTTTTCCCAGAGGCCACCCCTTTTCCTGAATGCCGTTTTCCTTTGGTTGTTGTAAACATGTCTGACCTGCACAAGCTTCTGCTGTGTTCTTTATGTGTGAAAGACAAACACCGGAAAATGTCTGGACCCATTTATACTTTACTTTTTTTCTTAAATCATAATATTTCCTGGCCTAGAGATGCCGTGACTCTTCTGCCCTTGAGGAATGTAACAGAGGAATGTGCTGTTTCTTTCTTTGCATAACATTATATGCCAGTTTAGAGCCCTTCATTTTCATGAATGGTTACAGAGTCAGTGAGGTGGTGGCTAGGAGGTGGCGTGTTATTTCCAGCCAACGTCTTGCTCCACCCAATCCTGTGTTGCCCTTCTCCAGCCTGCTCATCCCTTCCTCCCTCCTTAGGGCTCATGTCCTAGGACGCATGCTTGTCACAGCCTCTATAAGAAGTTCTCAACTTTGGCGCTCCATCTCGCCCCGGGCTGATTGGAATTCCTCTCTTGCCTGCCTGATTCCCTGTGCTCCCTCTGCAGCTCGTCTCTCCACTGACAGCCATGTCCACTTCACAGCTTGCAACGACGTTTTTATCATACCAAAGAGAAAGGAGAAGGAGTGGGAGGACTCAGGCTGACCCAAACCTGCCTTGCACCATTTCATCTTTTTTCCCTCTCTATCGCTCTCTATCTTAATCCTTAGTCCCTTTTATGCAACTTAATTTCTCCAAGCCTTTAATTCTGATTAAATGGAGAGTGCTATTGCTAAGTTGTGAGGAATTTCCATGACTTATTCCTTGAGTATATATTTTTTGAAATGCTTCTCTCTCAGCTCACCATCGGCCTCCTCTGCCATGCTAATCTATATCTGTAAAATTTATTCAACCTGTCTGCAAGTATTCCCTTCTTAATAAATCAGCTTTCTGTGCACCTATAGTGGGCAGCGGGTCAAACTCAGCAGTATTTTCTGCTCTAATGTTGTGAGCGAGGCAGAGATTGGCCCATGGCAGTGACTCAGCAGGCATCCATCTTCTCCAGGGAGAGCCACACAGATGAAGACGGAACTGATTTCATCTTTCCTTTATCTCTCAGCTTTGCTCATCAGCTTTTAAACTCATTTTTCAAAATTGCTGTAGCTAAATCCGAGAGGTATTAATTGACTGTGAATTGATAATGTTAAGGGAGGTGAGGACCCCTGATGTTATAGGGCTGCCAAGGCAATAGCAAACAACAGCCCAACTTTGGAATGTGGACACCCTCTAAAACCCAATTGTGAGAAATTCTGACTTTGGTAGTTAATCTTAAACAGACACAACCGTAAAAGGCACTGAATGCCTATCTACTCATAATGGCTACAGAACCAACAGATTTACCAAAGTAGCTGCAACTGTTGGCAATGGCTGTAATCGTGAGCGCTGCAAATGTTGTTATTGTGTTCATGTTGCAGTCTGTGAACTAACAGGGGCAATTGTTATTTCCATTAAATGCACAACAGCTGTGTTTTCAGACAACACAACCCAAATGAAATTAATGTTCCAGCTGCACATCAAGTACATATTAAACTCTGCCTTTCCACTTCCAGTCTTTTAGCTACCTTAAGCTGTTTCTCAATTCCTGACATTTTATGCTGATGAGTTTTTGCATCCAGTGTAAACAATTAACAACATGTGGTCTGTAGCCTAATTATTAGCCTACAAGCTAAAGCATACACTGTATGACTGTGGCGTTAACACAGGGTGTATGTCCTGGATGTCACCAGAGGCTGTAACTGGAAAGTTTGATGTTGAAACATTTGGTTGACATTTGTTGTTAGTGACAAAATGAGGGTCTTGCAGGTGGCAGACTGCCCCTGGATGTGCAGATAAAGGCTTTGTTCGTAATAAGAAGCGGACAGGGCCTAGAAAAGTCAATGAATTCTGCATTGGCCCATAAATAACCCTCCGGCTTGCGGCTTCCATACATGCACAGAGCTCAGCAGACTGACAAACCGAGCTGACACCTCAGCTCTCTTACTGAGGAGTTACACATATCTTACATACATCTGTGTGTCTGTCCCTCTCTGTCTTTTCTTCATTAGGGCCAGAGGGATGAGACAGGGCCAGGCTGCCATGACAGCACTTAGAGGAAGTTTTGACAGGCAGACTTAGGATGACTGTTTGGACGAGGTGATGTCAGGCCAGAGAGAAGTGACAGGAGGTGAGGGGAGACAGCCAACGCCCTGTATCTGAACTGATGGGAAGTGGCAGGAGATGCAGAGAAGGAGCCAAAGTCAGCCTGAAAGCATGGTCACAGTCTGAGGTCAGTGGAAACAGAAGGGATGAGGAGAGCCATTTCAGGAATAGGGCAGGGAATACCTTGAATTTACTGTGATCACAAGGAAATCCCAATGAATCTGTTCATATTACACTTTGTT